GTTGTGTTGATTGACCTACAACTGGTCTTACCACAGATATGTTGGCGAGCCCAAAGTAAGGTGTAGTACCAGTACTGCACGTGGCTTTCTCCAGTTGGCACACTGGCATCGGTGATAGAAGACTTATGGGATGAGTGGCCAGCTTCACATCCATTAGACCCTTTCCCCACGCTGAAGCTGCTACCAACCACAAGAAGGTAAAGACACCTGTCACACAAAGGTCCTACAGGGAGATGGAAACAAGATTATAGGTATGGGATGTCAAACTTGGGCCCTCTAGCTGTTTTTGAACTGCAGTTCCCACAATTGTCTGCCACTACCTTTTCTATCAATCAGCTTCACCGATAACCATATGTAGCATGGCAAAACTAGAGTAATTCTGGAGCAGAACTTGTGCTATCATCTGAAACTCTACATGAATTTTAAGGCATATGTTTTAAACTTGGCTCTCAACTCAAGTTTTGCATTGAGAAATATAGCACCATACTAACATATTGTGTCCACAGAAATGAACTCTTTCAGTCTATAGCATACCACAATGGGCACTCTTCGGATCTGTGTGTATTGTTCATGGAAGCGCAGATAGATAACCAGAGCGAACATTGAATACAGGAAAGCGAAAACTCCGATAGTAACAAAGAACTCTGCTGGAGCAGAAAAATCCCCATTCAGGTGCATAATCCGTTTTTCTATATCTGCACATCCTGGCATCTCATAGCGTTGACGATACAGTCTGTGATGAAAGGAGACATACTCATTGTAGCAACAGAGTGTAACTTGCATGGAATGCATATTCTGAGACACGGAAAGCATTGATTAATACATCTTAAAGGGGCAATCATTGGAGCTACTAAAATATAACTCTACCACATGTTTATTTTTTTATTTAGAAGTCTATGGATGTGCTTTTTCTTGACTGTATAAGACATAAAAGTGGTTATTAAATATCCTACTATGGCTGCTAAATTCTACATATATTGGCCAATCTAACTTACATTGTCAACAAAGGAATCTATATATACACGTTTTGTGAAAATGAAATGGAAATTAATTTGTGAATATAACGTACGTATAATATGAGAGTTATTCAAACATCTGACTTTGGTGGAAGGGACATTTCAATGAGCGTGCGAAATGGCCATGATTGTTTTTAAGCATGTTCTAGTGGCAGTGGGGAATAATTTTGATGCTTACATGACTGTGTATTATTTGGGTGGAAATGTTATGATGTGTAAGATGTAATTGAATATCAATTACCATTGACAACTAACCAGGAGCTGACAATCAAAAGGCCACCAACCTTTGAGCTAAATCCTTGGTCTTGCAAACAAGACAGTTTAGAATTTAATGGCTTGGTTGGATATTTTTTGAAAAAAGGGACACTTTTAGTCACGAGAACAACCACAGCTTATGGTATTTGTTCTGATGAATATAATCATTCCCTTCAGGAGAAAAGGAAGTATTTACATTACAGCCCAGGGATACCTCCAGTGACCACTCCTGAGATGGCTGCTAGAGGTGCTTCCTGGGGCAGTGTTGCACACTGTGCAAAATTACCTTTACGTGTTTCAACCCTCTGAATGGAGGAACTGTACTTTCCTCATAGAGATGCATTGATTCAATGCATCTCTATGAGGAGATGCTGATTGGCCAGGGCTGTGTTTGGCTTGTGCTGGCTCTGCCCCCGATCTGCCTCCTTGACAACCTCAGCCAACCTCCTATGGGAAAGCATTGTGATTGATCAGATCAACAATTCTGATTATCTCATCCAAGCAGGCAGATCAGAGGCAGAGCCAGCAGCAGCAGCAGACTGGAATAAAAGTAAGATTTTACTATATTTAGTGAGGAAAGGGGGGGCATGGAGGTAGACTGTATTTTTAACACTATAGGGTCAGGAATACCTGTTTGTGTTCCTGACCCTATAGTGTTCCTTTAAAGTATTGTTATGGAAGCATTGTTAAGCAGTTTCAGAAAGAAAGTGTACAGAAGGGAGTTGGATACCAGAGATGAGGGTATAGTAGACAAAATACTTTGTTACTGTGGGGATAATTCGGTGGTTATTACCTGAATGGATATCCAAAAGGCACAGAGATGAGATTTGTTTCAGTTTCTGTTTCCTTACAAGTAACAGTAGCTGCTGTTTCTCCGCTGAATGAGCCACAGCTTCCAAAGGCAAAGATTGCAAAAAGCTGAAGGAGAGGAGGAGAAATCATGGAAAGATATGTCAAAGTGTAACACATGTACAGTAGATATACTAAAGGAAATCATACAGTCCTTAGGTTCAACAACAGATTTTTCATTGTTTTACTGCTACCAGTTGAGATGTGCTCAGTCAAGGTTTATACATATAGGTAAAATGGCGAGCTTTCTAGCACTTGTCTGACGTAGCTGTGGCAGCAAGTACTTCCCAAACCATAGTCTCTTCTCGCCGTCCTTGAACAAATATTATGTAAGAAAAGGGTACAGGCAAGCAGCGCCTTCAGAGGGTCCTCAAATTTGTGTGGTGGTAAACCAATATGAAAGATAGGAGAACAAACAAGAAATATAGTGTAGTATTGTCAATAACTGGTGAATAAGGAGAATAGCACTTACTTTATGATCAGCTCCAGATATGTGTACCTGGGTGGTATCATTCCCACCTGTGGATATAATACTGAGCTTGGTTCTTTGTAGGAGGGTGTTCCAGACCAGAAGATGATGTCCAGCATTTGCGAGTGTACTCCTCCAATTTACAGTATTATGGTAGCCGAAGTTCACATATCTGGACATGGGTGTCCACAGGGGGGGGCAGGGGGAGGCACTTGCCCCCCCTCCCACCCCCCCCCCCGGAGATTTTTCAGCTTGTGCCGGCATTTTTATTTTCAGATTGGGAATACACCACCAGTAGGTGACGCTGTGTGTGAAGAAAGGCCGGGATAGGAAACTACATCTTATCCCTGCTTCCCATGAGGGATGGGGGGCAGCCTACAGAGCAGGTAAGTGATAGATGGGGGGCAGCCTACAGATCAGGTAAGTGAGGGGTGGGGGGGCAGCCTACAGATCAGGGGTGGGTGGGGAGGGATGCAGGTGGGAGAGCAGCCTGGCTAGATCAGGGGTAAGGGAGGGGATGGGGAGCCTTACATATCAGGTAAGTGAGGGATGGGGGGGGTGTTTTGCCATATCGGTGGGTGTGGCGGGAGGGGCTGCTGTGGGTGCAGCCTGGCCAGATCAGAAAAGTGAGAGATGGGGCAGCCCAAAGACTGGCAAGGGAGAGATGGGGGCAGCCTGTGAGGACTGGCAAGGAGAGATGGGGCAGCCTAGACACTGCAGAGAGATGGGGGCAGCCTACAGATCAGTTAAGTGAGGGATGGGGTGCAGCCTACAGATCAGGTAAGTGAGAGATGGGGGGCAGCCTACAGATCAGGTAAGTGAGAGATGGGGGGCAGCCTACAGATCAGGTAAGTGAGACATGGGGGGCAGCCTAGGAGAAGGAGCACAAAGGAACAGAAATGAGCAATAAGGGGCAGCAAGGAGCAGGAAGGGTCAGCAAGGAGCAGGAAATGGAAGCAAGGAGCAGGAAGGAGTAGGAAGGATCAGCAAGGAGCTGTAAATGGCATCAAGGAGCAGAAAGGGACAGAAGGAGCACAAAGGTAAAGTAGGGAGCAGAAAGGAGAAGGAACCGAAATGAGCAGGAAGGGACATCAAGGAGCAGAAAAGAGAAGGAAGAGAAATGAGCAGGAAGGGACATCAAGGAGCAGCAAGCGTCAGCAATAAGCTGGAAGGGGCATAAGGAGCACAAACGTAAAGTAGGAGAATGAGCAGGAAGGGTCAGCAAGGAGCAGGAAAGGGCAGCAAGGAGCAGGAAGGGGCAGCAAGGAGCAGAAAGAGTCAGCAAGGAGCAGAAAGGGGAAGAAGGAGCACAAAGGTGAAGGAGCATAAAGAATCAGAAGGAGCACAAAGGTGAAGGAGCAGAAAGAATCAGGAGTACAAAGGTAAAGTAGGAGAAGGAGCAGAAAGAAACGGGAAGGGGCAGCAATGAGCAGAAAGGGTCAGCGATGAGCTGCAAGGGCCAGAAGAAACACAAATGTAAAGTAGGATAAGGAGCAGAAATGAGCAGGAAGGGTCAGCAAGAAGCAGGTACGGTCAGCAAGAAGGAGGAAGGGGTAGCAAAGAGCAGGAATGGTCTGCAAGAAGGGACAGAAGGAGCACAAAGGTAAAGGAGCAGAAAGAATCACAAGGAGTACAAAGGTAAAGTAGGAGAAGGAGCAGAAAAGGGTAGCAAGGAGCTTGAAGGGGCAGAAGGAGCACAAAGGTAAAGTAGGAGAAAGAGCAGGAAGGGACAGCAAGGAGCACAAAGGTAAAGTAGGAGAAGGAGTAGAAAAGGTCCGCAAGGAGCAGAAAGGGATCGGAAAGAGAATGGAGCTGAAGGGCGTAAAAGAAGCAGAAAGGTAAAGGAGCAGAAGGAGCCAAGGAGGAAAGAAGATAGTGTCAGAAGAAAAAGAAGACTGTGTCAAATGAAGGAGAAGTAAAGGAGATTGGAGCAGGAAGGACAAGTGAAGTAAACCCTCCACTTTATTCTGGACACCAAATCATAAGGCTTTGGTAACTGGGCCTAACTTATGTCCCTCTCTTTTTAACCCTGTTATGTAAACCATTGCTTTTCTGCTGGAACAATATTGCTTAACCCCTTAAGGACACATGACGTGTGAAAGAGCTTATTTTGGTGCAAAAGGTAAACACAGCAGTGTGGATATTTATATTTCATTTTCTTTTTTAGACCTTGCAAACACATATTTGGTAAATATATGGGAGAAGAAAACATAATATTAAAAACTAGAAAGGGACCTCACTTCAATCACACCTTCAGCTATGCCCCATGAGAAAAGTGCCTCTCTGGTTATTTGAAATGTTGGTTTGATTTGTGTGAAAAGTGGATATCTGTCTGCTGTGTCAGTAATAAGATGAGAACTGTCCAAGTGATGTAGGGACAGCTGTGGAGGGGAATGTACGATTAAAGCAGTTAATTGTGAGTCAAAAAAAAACTTTGCTCTAACCATTTCAAGTCATGTAGCTATAGATAATGAGATTCATGAATGAACAGCATCTGATGGTAAATAAAATGTGCCCTTTTAATTATTACATTGTGTTGCTTTCTATACTGTTTTGGGGTTTTGTTTTTTTATTGTGAACAGTTGAGGTACTGGACTTCTCACTATACCTTCATTATAAATGGAGAAATGATTATACAGTAACCATAATATCAACATTAAAACATAGGAAATGGAAAGATGTATACATGGATAAGAATGCCATGACCATGAGATTTGGGGGTAATAAATTATTAAAGGAACACTGAAAGCAACAGAGTCACTACAGCTTCATGCTTCGTGCCTGTACCATATAATATGACAATTGTAGACGCTGCCTTTTTTGAGGAAAGGCAGTGTTTACATTTGTGCCTAAGATCACTTCTAGTAGCTGTCATTCTTACAGCCACTAGAGACCCTTCCAATCTTTGCAAGACTGATGTTCAGTGTCTTCATGCTCTGCAAGAAGACCTTGAACATTCCCCATATGGATGCATTGAACCAGTGCATCTATGTGAGGAGATGCTGATTGGCACATAGTGGTGATTGCTGCGCGTGCGCTTTAGTTCTTTCCTATGGGAAAACATTGGATTGACTGAGAACTTCAGTAATAATGAGCTCAATCAGAGGAGGAGTGGTGGCAATGGCGAGACCAGCACACCAAGGGAAGTAAGGTAAGAAAATAACTTTATTTTACTTATCGGAGGGGTGAGGGGCAACTAACTGTTTAGGAACACATTATAAGAGCAGGAATTCACGTGTGTATTCCTAAAATTAGAATGTTCATTTAAGAGCAATTAATAGAATGTATAACTAGTCATTGAGGAACATGAGAAGACCAGGGCCAGTTAAAAATGCATTTACACTCAAAAATCAGATTACAATTTCACGAAGCATGAAGGTGCCAAGCATTCAATCTTTATATAGCTACATAATAATAACAAATCCTTCAACCAGAAAGGACACATTTAGCTTCCACTGCATTTAAAGTATTCACTAGTGCAGGGGTAGTCAACCTATTAGTAGTACTGTGCAAAACAAGATATTGAAATCCCTTGTTGAGCCAGTCCTATTTATTTAAACTGAGGTGTGTAGGTTGCCGTATTTTGTTTGTGTTATTTGTGGGTGCTGCAGTTGCTTTGTAATGTTGTATTTGTGTGTATGTGGGCCGTTATATTGTATATGTTCATGAGTAGTTTGTGGTGTTGTGTATGATAACTATGAATGTGGGATGTGCATGGGAGCTGCTTGTGAAATTGTGTGTATGGATGACGTCACATTTTGTGTTTGGTGTTGTGTGTATGTGTGTGGCTGCTTGTGGTATTGCATGTGAGAGGCTGCTTGTGGAGTTGTTTGTGTATTTGCTGATTGTATTATTTGTATGAAGGGGAGGCGTCTTCTGCAGCTCTGTGTATATCTAGCAGTGTGGGTGGCTTCCATGGGGGTCAAGTGAGGACTGGGCTGGCCAGGTACAATTTAAGGACAGGAGCTACAATAACTGCGGGCTGCCCTACTCCGGTGCGGATTCCAGTTCACAAGTGCGGGAAGCAGTGGCGGATCCAGAGCCTGATCTCGGGTGGGGCACTTGTAGATTATTTAAAGAAATAATCCAGACACAATAACCACTACAGCTCAGTGTAGTGGTTATGGTGTCAATAGTGCCGGTACCCCCTCCCAGAGTAAGTAGTCAAACCGTTTAAGAACAGTTTGACAACTTACCTGAGGTTTGCTGGGAAATGGGGCAGTAGTGGGGCATAGGAGCAGTGGTGTGTGTGAGTGGTGCAGTGTGTGTGTGTGTGAGGGGGACAGTGTGTGAGCAGTGTGTGTGTGTGAAGGTTGTAGTGTGTGTGAGGGCGGCAGTGTATGTCAGGGATGCAGTGTATTTGTGGTACAGTATGTGTGTGTAACAGTTGCAGTGTGTGTGTGTGTGTGTGAGTATTGCAGTGTATGTGTGAGTGTGGGCAATGTGTCTGCATGGGGCGGCAGTGTATGGGGGCAGTGTGTGTGTATGGGGGGGCAGTGTGTGTGTATGGGGGCAGTGTTTGTGTATGGGGACAGTGTGGGTGTATAAGGGGCAGTGTGTATGGGGGCAGTGTGTGTGTGTATGGGGGGCTGTGTGTGTGTGTGTGGGGCAGTGTGTGTGTGTATGGGGGCAGTGTGTATGGGGGGCAGTGTTTGTGTATGGGGGCAGTGTGTGTGTATGGGGGCAGTGTGTGTGTTTATGGGGGCAGTGTGTGTGTGTTGGGGGCAGTGTGTGTGTATGGGGGCAGTGTTTGTGTATCGGGGGCAGTGTTTGTGTATGGGGGGCAGTGTGTGTGTATGGGGGCAGTGTGTATGGGGGGCAGTGTGTGGTGTATGAGGGGCAGTGTGTATATGGGGGCAGTATGTGTGTATGGGGGGGCAGTGTGGGTGTATAAAGGGGGCATTGTGTGGGGGCAGTGTGTGTGTATGGGGGGGGCAGTGTGTGTATGGGGGGGCAGTGTGTGTGTATGGGGGCAGTGTATGTGTGTAGAGTGTGTGTGTGTAAAAAAGGTAGGAGAGCTTTTTTTTTTATAATATATATATTAATTTAATTAAAATATATATTGATGTCCCGCCTCCCTTCTTACCTTTAATGGGGGGAGGGGGGACATTTCCCTGGTGGTCCGGTGGGGGATTCATTGGTGGTTCCAGTGGGGAGAGTGAACTCTAACCCACGCTCCCGGACTAGAGTTCACTCTCGTGAGATTTGGAGCGTTGCCGTGGTAACCGCGGCAACGCTCCAAATCTCGCGAGAGGAGGACCCGGAGGAGCTGCAGCCTGAGCTTCCGGGTCCTCTCTCTCACTCCCTCCCTCCCCCACCAGCCGCCAGCACAGTGCCTGCGGACTGGGGAGGGAGATCTGTGATCTCCCCTCCGGTCCGCAGGCACATTGCACATGGCAGGGGAGAGGGAGACCGTGTGTATTCTCGGGGGGGGGCAATTGCCTCGTTGCCCCCCCCCTGGATCCGCCACTGGCGGATCCATTTCCTCCAAGTACTGCAATGCGTAAATTGAGGATTTTCCTCCAAGTACTGCAATGCGTAAATTGAGGATTGTCCCTCATCGCCTGCATTCACTACTCAGGTTGCACTAGCAGATATCTGAAGTCCCACTGTGACTCCTGATAGGCCAGAGTGCTATGCAAAGGCTTCCCCAGGTCCTAGTGTATTGATGTTATTAATATCCTTGGCTTCAAAAAGATGGAGAATGAAAAGGAACCGGGGAGGTGCGGGCAGCCATTTGCAAGGTGCATGAAAACCAGCTCAGGTATTTTCCCTTTAAATCAGCGGTTAGAAGATTGTCACCCTTGCCTACCAAGCACAGGTGAGATGGGGCACAGGTCTCAAAAACTGCCCCAAAGTTGCAGTGCGACATCGGCCAAATGCTGCAGGCCCCAGGACCCCGGCTCCCCGCAACGCCTCCCCACTGCCCTCAGAGGATGGGAAACCACCAGACAGCCCACCACTCAGTCATCGACACCCCACACACCCATGGGTAGCAGTGGACAGTACCCCAGCCTCAAAGAGTGACATAAAGGCCATGCTGAATGTCAGGCAAATGTGGTAGGCAGTCCTGGTAGTGCTAAAAGTAGACGTGCAAGCAGTGTCAACACGCACTCAGACAACAGAGAACGAAATTAAAGGCCTAAACCAGGAACTAGTACTGGGGGGAGAAGGTAAAACACCTGCACTCCACACAAGCAGCCATGTCCAGACAAGTCAACTTACTAGATGACAGAGGGAGACATAAAAACATCAAAATCAGAGGGGTACAGGAATCAATGCCACTGGAAGAATTACCACATTTCATCAGGCGCCTGGTGACCGCACTACTACCAGCGAGACAAGCCAAAATCTTTCTATTCGATGGAGTTTACAGAATAGCTAATTCCCTGCAAGCACCTGACGTAGCTCCGTGAGACATCATACTGCGGTGCCAATCAATGTCAGACAAATTGGGGCTTCTGGCAGCCCTACAAGTAAAGACACCTTTTGAGTTCGAGGAATGCTGACTCTCCTGTTTTCAGGACTTAAGCAGGGCCACACTACTCTATACGCAAAAATATGCAAACACTCACTAAACCACTCGAAGCAGCAGGCATTGCCTACAGGTGGTCGACTCTTGGAACACTGCGGGTTACCAAAGATAGCAAGCACTACAAGGCCACAGACCCTACTTATGGCCCAGCACTTATGGCAGCACTGGAACTATCTACCCTAGCGATGACCTTGACCACTAAGCCAGGCCACCAACCTTGGTATGCGGAGACAGCAATAGTCAACCCACCCGGAACGCACAAAAGCACCAAGACCTGAATTAACCCTCACGGCCTACGGCCTTTAATACGTTAACTTATCTATCATGTTTAGCAATGTTTATGTTATTTATTTTTAGTTAATTACTATGTTGTAACTACCAAGTAACAGTTCATAAGACGAGCTAGGGACCTATGGGGGTTCTGTCACCCAACTCCTGTGATACCCCTCACCCCCCCTCCCTGTGGTAAAAGGGCACTACCAGCACGGGAGTTACATAACCACGCTTATCGTAGTACATTAAGTCTCATCTACTGCCACTAGACCTGTGCTCCACAGGCGTAGCTAGACCCTCCCAGAGCTCCCACCCACCTAGACACATACTCAAAATTGACGCTAACCCACCTCGCAACAACATATAGTCGTACCACTACTATAAAATAGCCCGAAGCCCACAGTGCACTATCACCACAGGCATTAGCCACGCAGCTACAGATGGGTGCCAACATTACACAAGGGGCTCCTCTGGGGAAAGCCACATCACAAGCAGCGCTTGTGACTGCTTGTGATGTGGCTTTCCCCAGAGGAGCCCCTTGTGTAATGTTGGCACCAGGGCCGGTGCTTGGATTTTTAGGTACATAGGCGAAGATGCCTTTTTCCGCCCCCCCGCACCCCCCCGAAAAAAAACATCTTCATCTATGTGCCTCTTAACCAGCCCCTCTCCCCTCCCTGACCATTAGTAGTCCCTTCCCTTCCCTGTCCCTTAGTGTTCTTCTCCCCTCCCCCCTCTTTTTCCTGTCTCTTGGTGTTTCTCTCCCATTCCCTCCCTGTCCCTTGGTGCACCCCACACCCCTTTAGTGGTCACACTCCCCTTCCTGGTGTGCCTCCTACCTCTATTGTTGCATTGCCGAGTGGAGCAGATCCCCTAAAGGAGCTTCAGTTTTCTGTACCCGGCCGGACTGACAGGGAGTGCTCTCTCTGTGAGCACCTCCTGTCAGTCTGGCCAGGTACAGGAAACAGAAGCTCCTGTACCGCGCTCTGCTCCACTACACTCTGTACACACTGACAGTCACACACTCAATGACAAACACACAGACGCCACTGACAGACACAGACTCATTGATCTGACACACACTCATTCATTGACACTGACAGACCCACACTGATTGACACTCATTGACAGACACACTGATAGTCACACACAGACTCAATGACAAATATACTCTCACTGATTTGACAGACAGACACACTCATACACTCGCACACACACTCATACAATCACTCACAGACACACACACTGTCACTCACAGACACACACACTTTGTCACTTACACACACTTTGTCACTTACACTCACAGACGCACACACTTTGTCACTCACACACACTTTGTCACTTACACTCACAGACGCACACACTTTGTCACTCACACACACTGTCACTCACAGACGCACACACTTTGTCACTCACACACACTGTCACTCACAGACGCACACACTTTGTCACTCACACACACTGTCACTCACAGACACACACATTGTCACACACACACTGTCACTCACACACACTGTCGATCACAGACACACACACTCTGTCACTCACAGACACACACACACTGTCACTCACAGACACACACACACACACACAGTCACTCACAGACACACACCCTGTCACTCACAGACACACACAGTCACTCACAGACACACACCCTGTCACTCACAGACACACACACACTGTCATTCACAGACACACACACTGTCACTCACAGACACACACACACAGTCACTCACAGACACACACTGTCACTCACACTGTCACTCACAGACACACACACACAGACACACACTGTCACTCACACACACACACTGTCACTCACAGACACACACTGTCACTCACAGACACACACACACAGTCACTCACAGACACACATACTGTCACTCACAGACACACACAGACACACACTGTCACTCACAGACACACACACACTGTCACTCACAGACACACACACACACGCAGACACACACTGTCACTCACAGACACACACACACAGTCACACACACACACACAGTCACACACAGACACACATCACATGCATTCACTAATTATTTTATAAATACATATTTTCCACCCAGCCTCCCTACCTGGAGAGCTGGTGTGGATTATGGATCGGTCCCTGGGGCTGCTGGGAGGCGTGCGGCAGTGCTGTGAACAGGCGCGGCGAGGGAGCTCTAATCTCCACCCTCTGCTCCCTTGCGGGCTGCCTTCTGATGCCGCGGGAGCCAGGTTGATGACGTCATATTCCGGCTCCCGCGGCATCAGTAGGCAGCGCGCGAGGGAGCAGAGGGTGGAGATTAGAGCTCCCTCGCCGCGCCTGTTCACAGCACTGCCGCGCCGGGGGTCGAGATGGTGGCCTGGCAGGAGGGAGAGCTTCCCTCCTGCCGGTCACTGAAATATTGCGCCCCCAGAGCCCGTGCGCCCTAAGGCGGCCGCCTGTGCCGCCTTATGGACGCGCCGGCCCTGCAAGCAGTGCAAGACCTGGGTATCACAGGGAGCACCTTACACCAATAACTTTAAGAGAAAAGATTCCCTAGCCAGACTCCCCTAGCCAGAAATCATAAGGGATGCCACACACCTCTTATATTACATAGTTACATAGCTGAAAAGAGACTTGCGTCCATCAAGTTCAGCCTTCCTCACATTTGTTTTTTACTGTTGATCCAAAAGAAGGCAAAAAAACCCAGTATGAAGCACAATTTTGCAACAAGCTAGGAATAAAATTCCTTCTTGACCCCAGAATGGCAGTCAGATTTATCCTTGGATCAAACATTTATTACCCTACATTGAAAGATTATATCCTTGAATATAAATGGCTTATGGCCAGGGCCGGCGCTACCTGTAAGGCGACCTAAGCAGCTGCCTAGGGCGCAACTTAGCAGCCAGCCCCCTCTGACTTCTCTAAGGTAAAGGGGGGGGGGGAGAGAGAGTGAAACAGAGAGGGGAATAGAAGGAGGAGGGGAGGAGAGAGATGGGGAGAGACACAGGGAAAGGAGGGAGGGAGAGGGGAGAGACACAGGGAAAGGATGGAGGGAGAGGGTAGAGACACAGGGTAAGGAGGGAGGGAGAGGGGAGAGACACAGGGAAAGGAGGGAGGGAGGGAGAAGGGAGAGACACAGGGAAAGGAGGGAGGGAGAGGGGAGAGACACAGGGAAAGGAGGGAGGGAGAAGGGAGAGACACA